CCATTTGATTACATTTGACGGGTTGCTGTGTTAGGGGTAGCGGTTGTGGTGCGGAGTACAGTTGGGGGGGGGGGGGGGGGTCTCTAATCAGCTGCTGCCGTGGTCCCTGCGCTGTTAGCTCTGATTCCTCCGGTTCGTCCGCTGTTGTCGTTTGCCCTTCTCCCGGCGGAGGATCCCAGGCTGTATCCTCCCATGCTGGGGTGGTATCGGTCTCGTCACAGCCCGGGGATATCTTGTCGTTCAGCCCGTCGTCGTCGTCGTACTCCCTCATGTGCCTATCCTCATCCTCCGGTTCCAGGTACAACGGCTCAACTTCGTCTTGTAGGGAGCGTTGGGAATCGGCCATGACCTCCTCCGGGCACATCTTGCCTGCGAATGTGTTGTATGGCAAGGCGGTCACAGTGTTCCATGCTCTCCACACCAACCCCTCGTGCAGCCTCGCTTTTTCTTCTAATTTTACAAGGAATGGTTCAAAAGATCTGGTTGTGGCGAGTTCCTGGTCGATCTCGTCCGAGTCTTCCCCGAGGGGGCCAGGGATTCCGTAGACACCTAAGGGGGAGTCTTCGGATATGCCTTCCCTGATTGTTTTGGCCAGTGTTCGATGGTCACCCACGACCGGGAAGGTGAAGGATACATCTGTGGCTACCTGCCACTTCCCGAACTTCTTTCTGTTCCAGATAGGACCAAGGGTCTGACTGGCTTGATCGCGATCTGAGGTAGCTTTCTCAGTGATATGGGGGGGCTTGTTGTCTGCCACGTTTTGGATGGTGCAGTACTCTTTTTGGTTGCTTTTCCGGTATTCCGTGTTCTGATCAAACAGGCACTTTGTCTGAGCAGCGACGATGGCGATCTCCTGTTTGAGGGATCGCTGCTCGTTGTCATTTCCTATCGTGTCCGTCGTGGACTTTCTGGGTCTTTTGACCCTGCCGTTTGAGGGCTTCCACTTCTTTGGTACCATGTCTCTGATTGGGTCCTTGTGGACCTGGGTTTCTGCACTGGAACCAGACTCCGAGCTCGAGTTGTCTCTTTCCCTCTTTTTCTCATGGATATCTGAAGGCGCTGAATTCTGACAACTCGCTTTGTTCTCTCACGATGTCGTAGGTGTTCGTGGATGTGTGGATGTGTGGATGCCTGCTACCGTGCCTTTGCTGCTCTGGCCTGTCTTCTCCTGATGCATCATGCATGCCATTGTGATGTCGAATCTTTCTCCCTCTCATTTTTGGCTCTTTCCAGATATTCCTGCAGCCAGGCGATGGGGGAGTCTCCCTGTTCTTTTGGCTTGCCTACTCTATCGCTCTTGGAGGGAGATATGTCCATTCCTTTGTGAGTACAGTCCTGATCTGATGTTGGGCTGGGGTCCGAATCATTCGGGGCTGCCTGTGTGCTCTGTATGTCAAAGGGGGTGCTTCCCTTTTCAGTTGAGCTGTTCTTTCTTATTTTCTTACCACTCGGTGTCTCAGTGTTCTCCTTTTGTGGGGAGGCCCGTCTCTTGAGGGAGGGGCTGGTTTGAATGGTGCGTTCCCCGATGATCTGTTTGGCTGCGTCCAGGATGACAACAGGATGTCGTTGTCATCCTCTCGCTTGGTGAGGGCGTCTACAGTCTACTGTCTGATTGAATAGAGATCCCACTGCAGGTCTTCGTGTTTCTTTTCTTCTTTGATGGCCCGGGAGTCCACCATCGGGTCTGAGTAGATTTTCCCTGGGATCCTTGTTATCTTCTTTGCTCCCACGTGGTGCCATTTGTTGTCTGACGGTGGAAAGATGTCTGGCTGTTTGATTGTCGGAGTTGTGTTCGTGTATGTCCATATCCACTTAGGCTCTGGGATATTGTCGTCGAAGACCTTGCCGTCGTAGTCTGGGTCACTAACGAACCAGATACCTTTCGCCTCTTCAACTTCGACGAGCACGTTCTGTCTCAGTTTTTTTTGTTCAGGGGAGCATGGGCATTTGGGATCTGTTCCCAGGTGACCTCTTCTCTGCATCTGACGTGACTTTGTCCCCAATGAGACATTGCCACTCCTCTGGGAACACCGGGGGGTCGTCGGACAGTACTTCCAGGATTGCTGTGACAGAATCGCAGTTGGGGGCCAGGAAGTCGGGCATGGGGAGGACCCACTTTATCACTTTGTTTGCTGGGTATTCGACTTCCAACCGGTCCTTAAGCAGGGGATGGCCTCTGGGTGGGATGTTGTTGAATTGTACCCAAAACTGCTCCCTCATCAACCGCTGTTTGTAGGAGGCAGTCGGTGAGACTTCAGCTCGCTGGGCTGTCTCCGATTTCCAGCGTGACAGGGTGCAGACAGGTCCGTTGTAGTTCAAGGTTTCACATTTCTCCAACATGTGCGTTGCTTGGTCTGCATCTTTGAAGACCACGATCATCATGGTTCTACCCAGGCCTAGCAGGGAGAACTTGTAAACTTCTGTTTTGATGTTCTCGTGTTCCTGGATGGTTTTCACCATCCATTTCCTTTTCTAGATGGGGGAGAGTCTTGCACCGACGTTGAAGAAGGAGAAGATGAGTGCATGCTTCTCGTATGTCGCGTTGGTGTCG